GATCGCTAAAAGCGTCGCTTGGCTCGTAACTCCACTTATCTACTCCATGCTGCATCTCTGGACAGACGAATGATCCCTCATCGGCCTCTACAGCTGTAAAAGACGTCAGTCACAAAGAACTTTTCCAGCTACACGCTGACAAGAAGAGGATCGGGCTGCTTTCCCCGGTCACTCCTTCCTCTGCTCCAAACAAAGCTATAGTGGAAACGAAGCACATCACCGCTGTCTCGGCAAATTCCGGATGCTGCACCGGTTGCTCAGGCTAGCGCTAGCTGCTCAGGCTAGCATCGCCGCTTAGCTATCTCGACTCCAACGGCAGGTGAAGACCCGGTCCTCGCGAACCGATCAGCAACCAGTCCTCCCTCAGCGAGACGGACCCCCGTCTCCACGTCCGGGGGGAACCGAGACAACTCTCCATAAACATCAACACCGCATCCAGGGTGTCGGCTGGCAGCGCGCTGCTAATTGACATCACGCCGCAAAGAATTCTGGGAACTGCAGTTCCTACAACTCATTGGGAGTCTCATTCTTGCCACCTGCTGCTGCAGTGTCTCTTCAGTTTCATCTGCAGTATTGTAGAGACTGCTTCTCCAGGCTGTGTGCCATCGTGCACACTATCAAAAGTTAAGCGTGTAATGTATCAGAGCTTTGCACAGCTCTAAAGAAGCACTCAAACAAAGATTTGTAATTATTTAACAACTGGTTTGGTCCAAGGTTTTTGGTGGCTCAAACGTTCTGCCAAAAGTAATACACGCCTGTAATAATCTCCAATCAGCTTTAAAAATAAATGAATAATTAAAAAAAAAAAAAAGTTACTGTCTAAAGCGATGGAGAAGGGCCGTGAGGGGCCCATCTGATGATCCCTCATTTCCCTCAAGCCCAGCATATTCAATAATCTTTCAGAAGCCTATGTAAGGTATTGCTCAATAGAACTATATCATATTATCGTTGTTTGCATCTCCAAGGGAAATCAGGTCAAAGAAACAAATTAGTTCTGTGAAAACGAAGCAACCGTGCTTTTATGTTCTCTGTTCAAATCTCAGCTAAAATGACCATAAGTGCTAATAACTGAACAGCAAATCTTTCATCTTTCTTTAGCTTGCTGCCACACGGATATTCCACATTACCAGTACAACCTCTCGAAGAACGCATGCCTACATTCTTAAAATATAATTTTAGATGTCTGCAGCATGCTGCTGCGGAACATACTTCATCACTTAATAGTAGTATACCCTTTCACAGGATGCATGCCTGCATTCCTTAGACAACAATTTCAGGCCTGCAGCCCGCTTGCTGCTACACAGATGTTTTAGCTAACATAAGTATGACCTCTCGCAGAATGCAGGCTACATTCTTGAGATCATTTCAGAGGTTAGCAGCAGCACTCTCTCTCGTCACATAATAGTAGTGTACCCTTTCAAAGGATGCATGCCTGGATTCCGTAGACAATAATTTCAGGTCTGCAGCAAGCTTGCTGCTACACAGATACCATCATTCTAGCTTGATGTTGGTCTGGGGGTTCCATTGTTTTGGGGTTCTGCAGATGTTCCCTGTTTTATCTCAGCATGCTGCTCAGATAATCCAGGGATCAACCAAGGAATGGAGCCTTCAACGCCAATCATAACTGTATTCCCATTTGCAACAAATGGGTAAATCAGGACATAGTGTTCCTGACTGAAATATATATATGCTGCTTTTGTCTGTAAAGGGTTTCATGTTGAATAAAATAACTGGAAGTCGCTTTGGATAAAAGCATCAGCAAAATGACATGTATGTAATGAAAGTGATAGCCAGCTCACTTCAATTAATGTTAGCAGAGAGGCTAATGCTACTGGTAAAGGCCTTCAATTACTTGGCATAACAGCAATGCACCAAACTGCCTCTACATAACATAATGAAAGAGTCATCCAACTCCATTTCACATGCACCGAGCGGACCGCGTAACAGAGCTTACGGGGAAAATGAGGAGAGGCGGACTCTGTTTTTAGGTTAACGAAGGTAGGTGTACTGATGTCACGGTTCTAATCAAATCATGCAGTCCTCACCTGGAGACATTATTCATAAACTGTAAACCGTTTTATTCACTGCAGGAGTTTTCCTCGTTTATTCTGGTCGGAGTCTACATCCCTCCACAGGCCTGTGTAACTGAGGCGTTACAACACCTGGCCGACCAGATAAACAACGTGGAGAAAAAAACCCCAGACTCTCTGCTCATTGTTTTGGGGGATTTTAACAGAGCAAAGCTCAGCCATGAACTGCCAAAATATAAACAGCACATTAAGTGTCCCACCAGGGACACAAACACTCTGGACCATTGTTACACTGTTTTAAAGGACTCATACCACTCTGTCCCCTGTGCAGCCTTGGGACTCTCTGATCACTGCATGGTTCATCTTATCCCGACCTACAGGCAGAAGCTGAAATCTGCTAAGTCTGTGGTCAAGACAGTGAGGAGATGGACTGACGACGCCATAGTGGAATTACAAGCCTGCTTTGACTGCACTGATTGGAGTGTTTTTGAGGCTGCAGCTTCAGACCTGCATGAACTGACTGATACCGTGACATCATACATCAGTTTTTGTGAGGACATGTGTGTGCCCACCAAGACCTTCCACACATACAACAACAACAAACCCTGGTTCACTGCAAAACTCAGGCAGCTCCATCAGGCCAAGGAGGATGCCTACAGAAGTGGGGACAGAGTCCTGTACAACCAGGCCAGAAACACACTGACAACCAAGGTGAAAGCCGCTAAGAGGAGCTACGCTGGAAAGATCAAAAACAGCCTTTCAGCCAACGATCCAGCGTCAGTGTGGAGAGGCCTGCAGAACATCACAAACTACAGGAGACCATCCCCCAACACTGCAGTGAACCATCAACTGGCTGATGAGCTGAATGTGTTTTACTGCAGATTCGACTCATTCTCACCTCTCCCCCCCTCAGTCATAAAAGACCCATCCACACCCCTTCTGCCACCTCTCCCCTCTGACCCCCCACCAGCACTCAAGATCTGTGAAGAGGATGTTTGTCGGCTTTTCCACAGACA